GGGAAAGAGGATAATTTTTAACAGGGTTGTGGAGGAACATGCAGAAAGGATCTATCCATGGGTATTAGCTATGACAGGCAACTGGAACTTCCATATTCTGAATCTCTGGACACCAGTCCCGGAGCAGAAATAGTCTCCTGTAATTTCTTAAATTTATCTCTAAAGTGGATCCAACAACTGCCGAGTGTTATCCTGGCTTTCTCCTTTCTGAAAAGGGAAGCTAGAATACAGAAATAGGTGGGAATTTGGTCTGGTTCTGCAGAACTCTTAGATTAGGATGCCTCAAAGCAATGGTCCATCTTATCCAGCATCCTATTCCATCCAGTGCCAATTCAATTCCATCCAGTAGTGAGAGAAAGCACATAAGCAAGTTTAAGCAATCCCTTGCTCTTGCCTTTCTATTGGACATCACACACATCCTCAACACTTTTTAGATGCAAATGAAAGGCCAGTTTGGTGTAGTGGTTAAGTGCACGGACTCTAATCTGGGAGAACCGGGTTTGATTCCCCACTCCTCCACTTGCACCTGGCTGGATGACCTTGGGCAAGCCATAACTCTGATAAGAGCTGTTCTTGAAAAAGAGCACTTTCTGTCAGAGTTCTCTCAGCCCCACCTACCTCACAGGGTGTCTGTTGTGGGGAGGGGAAGGGAGCACACAAGCAAGTTTAAGCAATCCCTTGCTCTTGCCTTTCTATTGGACATCACACACATCCACAAAACTTTTTAGATGCAAATGAAAGGCCAGGCATCCTCAGTCCGAGTTTTTGCCGAACTTTCTCCCTAAGCCTCAGTTGGAGAGGGGGAAAAAATCCCCCAAATACTCCAAGCGTCGAGATGCAAATCCCAATTTAAGGACTCTAATAAGATTTCAAAGTCTAAACACCTCAAAGTAATCTTTGGATAAATTATATTTTACATAGAACTTGATAGATTTGTACAAATGAAGTCTTGATGGCAAATGGCGCAATCACTTTTGGAATCATTTGCAGATGGATTTTTTATTTTTATTTTTTGCAAATCCACCTAATATGGTTGTGAATGAACTCCAAAACTCTGGAAAACGTTCCGCAAACAATATGTGAGTGGGTCTTATATTCTGGAATTAAAAAATAAATAAAAGATACCTCAGGTCTTACTTCATCTTCTATTTTGTTGCAGCCGACGGTTTCAAGCAAAATCCAGGATGGTTTCACCAAAGCAGTTATATTCTATCCATGACCGTTTAAAAAGGTATAATTCCATTTTGAAGATCGCAATTGTCTTTGGGAGCCCAGAGGACGACATCCCATGGAGACAATTAGCCAAGAAGAGGAGCGCCAGAAGCTCAAATAAGAAACTCGAAGTTGCATCACTTCAGATTTAACCAGTTAATGGGGACCCTCCTGGACACCTGCATGGAATGGGGGGGGGTAGATTTGCCACCTCCAACTTGGGAAACTCCTGAAGGTTTGGAACTGGTGCCTGGGGAGGATAGGGACCTCTGAGAGCTAAAATGCCACAGAGCCCACCCTCCAGAACATCCATTTTCTCCAGGGGAACTAATCTCTGTAGTCTGGCGACAAACTGTAATTCTAAGGGGTCCCCAGGTCAAGGGGTCCTGGATGCTGGCATCCCCATTTGCTTGAGATTTAACCAGTTAATATTCTCTAGACACCTTAAAAATCCAAAAGGTGGCAAAGGAATTCACTCCTGTCCCTGACCCCTGGTATAAACTCCAGGGGTGTCCCCCCCCACATTGTCATTATTAGGACATTATCTTCATCTTCTTTCCCTCCGAGAATGAGAATTCTGAATGACATTTCAGCTCAATAAAAATTTATTTATTTTATTCATTTATTGTTTATATTTATATCCCGCCTTTCCAGGTATCTGGCTCAAGGTGGCTAACAACATTAAAATGGCATAAACAACCAAGTTAAAACAATTAATAAATACCATACCAGTTAAAACAACACCAGTTGCAATTAACCCAACAGAAATGGCAGTAATCCGAATCCCATCCAACGATTGGGGTAGCATCCAGCAGAATCTCAGGCCTGAGGGTGTTCTAAAATTTCAGACCAGACGATGTTCCAGGGCACACTCATCAGTGGCAGCCCCTAATCGAAAGCCCGGTGGAAGAGCTCCATTTTACAGGCCCTGTGGAACTGTAAAAGGTCCCGCAGGGCTCCGGGAGCTCATTACACCAGGTTGGGGCTGCCACTGAGAAGGCCCTGGTTCTGGTGACATTCAGCCTGGCTTCTTTCAGACCAGGGAGGGTCAGGCGATGTTGCAACCCTGACCACAGTGCTCTCTGGGGCACATATGGGGAGAGGCGGTCCCTCAAGTAGGCAGGCCCCTGACCATGGTTAGCACCAGCACCTTAAACTGAATCCGGTACGCTATAGGCAGCCAGTGCAGCGTCCTCAGCACAGGCTGGATGTGGTTCCGTATAGAGAGACTCAACAACAGCCTGGCTGCGGCATTTTGCACTAGCTGCAGCCTCCGGATCTGGGACAAGGGCAGCCCCATGTAGAGAGCGTTGCAGTAGCCTAATCTTGAGGTGTGTGGATCACTGTTGCAAGGTCATTGTGTTTGAGGAAGGGAACCAGCTGCCTGATCAGCCGTAGGTGGCCATAGTCAGATCACCAGGCCCTGAAGGCCCATCTGAATGTGCCACCCCGACCCCGCTTAGGCGGCGAGCGGATTTTTGCTCGCCC